TTTGCTGCCTCAGTCTTGTCTGTCTTAAATATCAAATAGTACAGCATTACTTTGTCTTTCAATTTTGCGAACCACGGAGTAAACCAATCCTGATCCTTTTTCTTATGTTTTTTGTAGGGATTTTGTTTCACTCTGGTTTTCCTTTGAGGAGTGCATGTTTCCATAATATTTAGGAACCTATTAAAGAATCTTTCAAAAGTTACTTCAGTTGACGATGCTATTGGAGACCTGTATAGCAACTCCTCCCAATTTACCTTGCTGAGTGACATTCGGAAATTATTTATTTTATCCTCATTGATTGGTCTGGTGACAATATCTACACTTTTCTTTGCTAAATACTTATTTAGTTCACCTTTGTTTACCTTCACCCATACTGATCCACGATCAGAGAAAGGGAAAACACTGATGTCACTGGTTATGTTTCTGTTTACATTTGTGAAAATGTTGTCTAAGCATGCAGAAAATCTTGTTGGCTTGTTGTTTGTCCAGTTAAAATTGAATTGTCTAAGAATATGGTTAAGTTCAGTTACACTAGGCTTGTCTGTTGTTACATCGAAAGCTGAGTTTAGATCACCTCCTATCACTATACTAAATTGTCTCCATTTCTTTTTACTTAAAAATATTAACAGCTCCTCCAGTCTTTCAAGGAAAACTGTGGGATGTCCATTTGGTGATCTGTAAAGAGCTGCTATAATAAGTTTTTTGTGTTTAATAAGTATAACCGTTACCTCAAAATCCATTTCATTGCAAAGGAAATTCAGATCTAAAACTGACCATGTACATGCGAAATTTTTTTTTAATATAAATCACCACTCCACCATGTTTGTGCTCTTGTCTACTAAAATTGTTTCCAAGCTGATAATCATCCAGCTTATTATACACTATTTCTTCTTTTAGGCACCAGTGCTCACTTAAGCATAAAATATCATAATTATTTTCAATTGCAAAATCATTGACTACTGCCAGTTTCTTTTCCATGCCCTGTATGTTCAAGTAACCAATTTTGACCTCATGTCCCTGGTGGGAAATTCCAGATCTAGATTCACTTTTTGCATTTCTTAAATTTTAACCACCTTGATGAGCACAGGTTTCACTGATTCTTGACTTTTCCTTACTCTCACAACATACCCCTTTACTTTCCACTGGCCAGGTTTCATCATTAATTAATTGCCTGACCTCGCATGTCCGTTTCCCTGCTCATTAGTGTACTCAAGTTCTATAATTGTATCATTAGTAGTGCTTTGCTTCTTGCTTATAACCTTACATGTTGTTTCACACATTGCTTTCTTCCCACTATAGTTAAAATGTTGGCCGTGCCTCGTGTGCAGGTTTCTGTTATATTTACTTATTTCTACTATATTTACATTCCTAAATGCCCTGCAAATCTTGTGGTATCTGTTATTGGTATTTTCTATTTCATTGTTTACAATTGACCAGTTGATGAGATCATGCCTATGTGGGATGTTTACTACTATTACATTTGTATTAGTGAGGCTGGCTAAGGTCGTCTTTAGGGTTGTTGTTGTACTATCTGCTTCGTTGCATACGACATCATTGGCTCCACTCATAAGAATTACGAAGTCATTCATTGTGAAGTCTGCTGAGTTCTGCTTGGCTCCTTTACTCACCTCTTCTGATCTTGCCCCCGGTTTCACCATTGCTTGAATGTCTAGACTTGGGGTCCTGCATTGTGTCCTTGATATGCTCTGAAAGGCCCCGGCCATAGCTATCCGTGTATATTCTTATGCGGTGTTTCGTCTTCATTCTTGTTTTAGGTTGCTGGTTAGGCTGTGACTTGCGACTAATTTCTTTCTCTCCTACGATTTCCAAGTCTGCCTGCAGCCGACTCGTTCCCCTCCAATGGCCTTCCTCGGTTTCTTCTAGTGCACTGAAACTGTTCGTTAAGGGTAATTCGAACACTTTTTCACTACAACGTGACTTGCTCTTGCTTGTCACTTTGTTCCAAACCTTGCTAGGGGCATGGTTTTTCCCATCTCTCGCGTCGGCATCATGGCGCATGCTTGTGCCCACACTAACATTTTGTGTTTTTAAGACACTGAGATCACTTGCTGAAGGCTTGCTATGGTTTCTTTAAGTTTGTTGATTTCCCCTGCACAACTTTCATGCCCAGAAATACCTTTAACATTACTTTTCGTTACGGACACAAACGAACGTAGCACCATACCGGCCGCCATCTTCGCCCATATATGATACAGAATAGTAAAAGGTTGTTCTCGCAAAAGGAATATTAAATAACATGCTGTTTGTAGAAGGCAGATCACGCACTGGATTAGCCCAAGGAATTTTACAATGTAATTCTGAAGAGTCTATATCATGATTTATCAAATTATACAGAAAAAGTACATCAAAATAATCCCTATGGGAGTGTAATGAGCTAATATTCAATCTAGTTGTGACATGGAAATAATTGTGACTAAATCTAGAAGATGGAATATCAAGCTTGAAGACGGCAAAAGTTAAAAATTTGTGCTGAACAGTCTCAAGTCAAGAGATATGGTTCTGGTAAAAGGGAGACCATAATTGTGAGCCATATAATAATATCGGTCTTACTAGAGTTAAATATAAAGTTTTGATGGTTTGCACATTAGTAAATTCAGATGCAATACGTCTCACAAATCCTAACATCTGATTTGATTTATTAATAATATTGTCAATATGTAGATCAAAACTCATTTTTTGATCAAAAATAACACCCAAATCTCTAAAGTATGAGACTGATTCCAACATTGCATCTCCTAGTTCATAATTGAATACAATGGGATTACTAGATCTAGTAAAAGACAAGAACTTACATTTACCATTATTCAAATTCAAACATTTTGATGAACACCAATCTAACAATGTATTTAAGTCACATTGTAAATCGTTACAGTCTTGTAATGAATTTATAGTTTTATAAATTTTCAAGTCATCAGCAAAAAGTAGGAATTTTGAATATGGAAGTGTTGTCTTAAGATCATTTACAAACAGAATGAATAATAGTGGGCCTAGGTGGGAACCTTGTGGGACTCCAGATGTGATGTATATATTTCTAGAAACGAAGGATTTATATTTCACATTCTGCGTTCTCCCAGTTAAGTAACTATAGAACCAATTCAAGGTTGTATCATGGATACCAATTTCTTCCAACGCATGAAGTAAAAGAACATGGTTTACAGTATCGAAGGCTTTGGAAGTCTGTATAAATTACATCTACTTGTTTTTGTATATCTAAATTTCCAAGTATATAATGTTGGATAGTCATCAAATTAGTAACAGGAGACCTCCCTTTACGAAAACCATGTTGTTCTTCGATCAAAATTGGATTTAGAAATTGCGTCAATTTAATTGTTATGATGGATTCCATCAATTTAGCAATTATACGAAGTTTAGAGATTGGTCTGTAACTCTCAACGTTAGAACGTTTATCTTTTTTGTGAATCAGAGTTATATAACTGGTTTTCCACATCTTTGGGAGGTTTCCTTCTCGCAGAGATTTAATAAATAAAAAGTGTAGGATTTGTATCAGATTCACGTTACAAGTTTTCAATAATAATGATAGTATACATCAGGGCCAGGAGAAGTGTCGGTTTTCAATTTATCAATAGCATTAAGAACATCAGGTTGAGTTGTATCAATAAAGCTAATATCAACCAGTTTATTGTCTTGATTTGAATTTCTAATAGTTGGAATATCGTCATTTTTATACACAGCTTCAAAAAATTTTGCGAATAAATATACAATTTGTTGAGGTGAATCCGCTGTTTCATTCCGAAAAAACATAGAATTTGTTAAGCCAGATATTTTTGTCTTAGCGTTAGCATACTTCCAAAATGATTTAATGTCGTGATCAATAGTCGGATAGAAGTTTCAATTCCAATTAAATAATCAGAATAATCCTGAGCTTGTTTCGCTTTACATTTTCTCCTCAAATCAGAGAAGGTAGTATAATCATTAACATTTCGAGATTTTGAATTTGAATGAGCGCGCGATTTCTCCTGAAGCATGTTTATCAAATTCTTAGAAAACCAAATTGGATAAGATGAAGAAGAATGAAGTTTTCTAGGAACGTGTTTCTCAATAATTTCATATAATTTATTATATAAGATTTCAATTGATATGTCTAAAGAATTTACAGTAAATAAGGGATACCAATTAAACTTTAATAATTCCTCATTTATCATATAATTATCAGCAAGTTTAAAATTATATAAAAGTTCGTGAGAGTCTAAAGGTAAAGTGAAATTGTCATTTTTCAAAGTGATATTGAGAGCAGGATGATACTTATCACAAGAAACTAGTGGAAAGTCAGATTTAATTATTTGTGGTAACGAGTGATGAAAATTAAGTCTAACACTTTGTCATTAACATTTACTACGTTGTTAATTTGATTCATGTTCAAGTAATTCATAGTATTTTTTGAGTAGATTACTAATCTGATAAGTAATATTAAAAGTACCAGTTGAAACCTTATTTACAGTAATGTAGTTTTCTGTAGTCCAATTGATATCTGGTAAATTAAAATCACCAGTTATTATAAATTAAGCTATAGGATATTTCTCAAAAATATTTTTAAGAGACTCAGTATAATCAATACAAAGATTTATAGGAGATTTAGGAGGAAAATACACAGTACTTATAATATATACATAAGAATCAAATTGAAGGAGAATAAAAAGGTTCTCTACATTTGTTTTATCAATGGAAATCAATGAACTCGTAAATTTACGATTTACAGCAATCAGGACTCCACCACCACGTTCGTAAGCGCTCATATCTGGATTTCTGTCTAGCCTATATATATCAAATGAATTAAGATTTAACTCTGTGTCTGTGATGTCCTTGTGAAGCCATGTTTCAGTTAGGATTATGATGTCCAGATTTTCGAAGGCTGATGAAGTTCTGTTCAATGTAGACAATTTGGTGTGAAGTCTTCTCACGTTCTGATATAAGATTGATAGATCCGGGGATTGCCTATTTATATGTTTTTCTAGTTGACAGAAGAACTATCTATGGAATTTGTTATTGTACTGTCTTGGGAAATTATTATATATGGAACTCCATTTCTATACTTCAATTTACTTCCACTAATACCTTTTTCTTCATTTGCCTTCATTTGAGATAATAAGCTTTTCAAATGTTCACGTTGCTTTGGTGTCCGGTCGGCTGAGATTTTAATAGAACTTTTATTTCTTTTCTTGTGTTTGAGAATGTCTAACACCAAGGAGTGATTTTTCAATATGACTTTCAAAGGTCTTGTGCTAGATGGTGAATTTGTTTGAGAATCTGTTGACGATTTGGCAGGATTACCTCGTTTATTATTGGGACCTAGTCTCATTGTTGAAAATTCACCAATATCGATGTCGGTGATAGCCGTTAGAATAGTTTAAGCTGCTTGTTTATCATCGATCAATCATTGTGTAGACCCATTCTCTTGACCCTCATCGACACCAAACAAAATCAAAGTATGTATATGAACGCTTTTCTCGATCAATTATTTCACCATACATTTCTTCAAAATTTGATTGTAAGGAATTCGGTCCAGATTCCAGATTTCCATTATTTCTAAGTTCTTGCACTTCCTTCAATAGCGTATCATTTGACGCCTGCAAAATCTCAGTTTTCCTATTTAATCTAGCAAGGAAAGTCTTAAGATCACCGTGGTCAGTGGCCGCTTCACATTTATCGCAACAGTAACGAAGTCTTATGGCTTTTTTCAGTGCAAAAACCTTAAGTTCTGAAGCTGAGAGTTTGGAACACACTGGATGTAATTTAACATTACATGCTCTGCACTCGGCATAGTCCAGTTCACCAGATTTATTGTTCACACGGATAACCGAACCACATTCAACACAATTCATTGCCATGATTTATAGATCTTAGATATTATAAAGTAAAACACCTGTACGATTAATAAACCAAACTGTTATCAGTCCGCAACGCATCGATAAGAACACACGACAACTTATAAACGGCCACTCGGGAACACATCGGGGAGAACGTCCGACCACTACGACTGACGGCAAGACTGAAAATTATAATCCTAAAATTCACAATCGGAGAGAAAGAGATTTTTAGTTTGTAGAGAAATATAATAATCTAGGGCTGGATGTTGGGGAGTCACATGGTAAAGCAGTACAGTCAGACGCAATCAAAAGCAGGACAGAATAATGCAATCAAAATCTTGAGCAAATATCAAATCCAAAATTCTACTATCCGAATTGTAACTATAATTTAGCTGTAATAAATTCAAATAATTCGCCGTAATAAATAAATAAATTGAAATAATTACATTTCAAAATGTTTTCATGTTTAAACCAATTGTTATGCGGAAGATTGAAATCACCAAGTATAAGAAATTTAGAATTGGGGTAACTTTCAAAAATGTTTTCAAGAGTGCTAGTAAATTGCAAGTATGCATCTATAGAAGATTTGGGGGGAAAATAGACCGCTACAATTATCAGGTTGAAGTTCCCTTTAATATGTACATATAATTGTTCAATACTTGTGTTGTGAGTTTCAATATATGTGCTGCAATATTTACGGTGTATCATAGTTGCTACTCCTCCCCCTCCTTGATGTTGGCTTGTAGCTATACTCCTATCTAGTGTGAAGATATTATGATTTTGAAAACCAAGTTCAGCATCTAAAATTTCCTTATGTAGCCAAGTTTCAGTG